GTTCGGAAATATCACTTACTCGAACCGTCCTGACCGCGTAGCGCAGTTGGAAGAGCATTGGGCTAGTATTCTAAAGGTCGTAGGTTCGAATCCCACCGTGGCCGGGCATATTTTTCAAGCTCGCCCGGTGTGGATATACACTCAGAGTAACACCACAAATATCATATTCACCTGAGTACACTACACCAACACAGAAAAAATTAATATTACTAGAATACATTGGTATCGAAGGAACTAGATTCTGTTCCGAAATATCACTTACTCGAACCGTCCTGACCGCGTAGCTCAGTTGGAAGAGCATTGGGCTAGTATTCCAAAGGTCGTAGGTTCGAATCCCACCGTGGCCGGGCATATTTTTCAAGCTCGCCCGGTGTGGATATACACTCAGAGTAACACCACAAATAACAACAATTAATATGTTTGCAAAATATTCCTAATTTATCCACCATGTCCAAATGTGGTCTCGACATGTCGGCGACAATAGCTTTGCAAAATGACCTATTTAGTGCCTTTTCAAATTGGTGTGGATTTATCCAAACCAACAATTAATATGTTTGCAAAGTATTCCTAATTTATCCACCTTGTGGAAATGTGGTTTCGACAATCGTGACAACTGCTTTGAAAAATGCCCTATTTAGTGTCTTTTCACATTGGCATGGATTTATCCAAACCAACAATTAATATGGTTATCAGTAATCACTGCTTTAAAAATGACCAAAATCTCCTGTAGTTTTATTACGCTCAAACCTGTTGAAAATATTGATCTTTTATTCTTTTTTTGCAACATGTTATTTTTTTGCAAAATTTTACCAAAATGTTAACTTTTAGCATAGGATATTATCAGATTTTACATTTGTGGACATTTTTCTCGCATGAGATGTATTTGTCCATTTTTTTAAGAAGAAAGAATCTATCAATTTGCTCTGGAAATTCGTATTAAAGCCTTTTAGAATTATATCCCGACGATGACGCAAAGTCTAATTAAATCAATATAAAGGCTGGAAATGTTTTCCACAATATTAAAGTAATTGATAAATCTAATCATTGGTCCCTTTTCCTGTATCAAGATTCCCTCGTTATTCAAAGATACAAACCTGAACTTAATCATGAAATTAAAGGTTCTGAAGAACTAATCACGTTAACTATAATTCATTAATAATCAACCTATATCATATTTCTCCACATAAAAACTTTTGATGTATAACCTAGTTGGTTTATTTTGATAACGACTGAAATATAGTCGAAATGTTGATAAATATAAAAATGTAATAGATCTTTGGAGTTTCACTTGTCTTTTATTTTTTTAAAATACTCTTGGCTCTAAATTTTGGTTGGAAAAATGGTTCTAAATTTTTTTGTCTTTAGTAATTTATAATATTTGGAAAATGGTTCATACCCCACCAATTTTCATTCAAGAAATTACTTGGCACCCCATTAAATAATCTGAAACAAATTTCATATCCTCCTTATAAAATAGAAGCTGCTGTTTTTTGTATGGACTTTAAAACTCTATACATTCGCCTCAATAGCACAGTGCTCATCGCGGAGTCTCACATACATTAAAAAATTACATTAAAACATACACAACATCCAGCAGACAGAGAATAAATAAAATATTACGCTAAATAGACCTTTCCCCGTAAAACCAAAATTTTGATCTAGGTAAGTCTAGACAATTATTTCATCACAGCTTGAAAGACCATCACAAAATTAGTAATATTCCAAAGTTTCGTTGCGAAATGTTGTAAAACGAGGAAAATAGAGCCTTGCAAAGTTTGCAATTTTCAGTCATTTTGCATTACAAACGGGAAATTGCAGCCCCAACACCCGAATCGGATGTGAATTTCCCGTTTGTAATACAAAATAACTGAAAAACGGCAAACGTCGCAAGGCTATATTATCCGCATTTTACAAGATTTTGCAACAAAACTTTGGAAAAGTACTAATTTTGTGATTCTCTTTCAAGCTATGATGAAATTTTTGTCTAGATCGAAATTTTAGTTATAAGGGGAAAGGTCCATTGCCTATATATAACTATAAATTGCTAAAATATACAACCTATTTAAATCGTGCTGATTGCTCAATAATTATATAAGATTACTGCGGTAAATATGGTAATATGCATTGCTGAGATAAGCTAAGAGATAACCAATTATTTCCAGCATTCTGCACAATGGAGATGCACCCCACATATACAAAAATGTGATTCGATACATTTCATTAAAAAAAGATAATAATTTTAAGCGCAGTTTTTAAGTCTTACTCTAGTGTGTAAAATGCTTAAATAACAATCCTCAAGATTTAATAATTTGTCAGCAGGAGGTACATAAAATAAATCACGAATCAAATTATGTCTAAAAGAGTCAACTGAAGACGAATTTCATAGTTGTTCTGGAATTGTATTTCAAAATGTTATGGTCAATAGTAAAACGAATCTTTTAAGCTGCAATTTGCTAGATATATTCAGTGCCAATCAGGGTGGGGGGCAAAGGGGGAAATTTGCTCCGAGCCCCCAGTTAAAGGGGATCCCTAAATTTGCAAAGGGGAGTCATAAAAGGTGTAATTAAAAATATTTGAAACGTTTTTGTTATATAAATAATGGTATGAGAACAATTTTTAGACCAATTAATTTTACTGCTATATTGGTCCGAAAAAGTGTTTTAACCGTATTTAGACAGCTATTTGTCCGGAAAATTTTTTGAACGTTTATTTAACTGGTCTTTGTCCGGAAATATTTTTTGAACGTTTGGAAATGTCCAGACAATTTTTTCAGTCCCTCCCCCCTCCCTTCCCCCGCTCGACAACATTTTCGGGGAAAATTAGAGGGCCGAAATTTAAAACGCCCTGGAACGCGATTTGAGAAGCCCTGGACATATTAACATTTATATCGGAAAATGTGCACTTTTCTATCATTTTAATGTAGCCAGTGCCAGATATTCTATTTGGGACAGTGGATTACTATTAAAGATGCACCCTTTATTGCATATTTATGGGTTAAATTAATAAACTCTATATATTTATTTTTGTTTCAAATTCGTTTGCTTTTTATAAAATTGGTCATAATCAGCTGCAAGGAAAAAAATCCCTTTCTTTTCTACCCCCCCAATAGCCTCCGGCTGCCATGACACATACTTAATGACCGCTCCCTCATATCTGAATAAAAATAAATGCACGATGAAACGTTTTGTTAGTTCAGGCATGTATCCTCATTCAACCAGGTATAGTATAATATGACACATGGTTTCGGTATTTGGGTTTAAGTCAATGTAATTATTAACAAATTACTACGTACTCCAACGTAATCCAAAATCGCATTGTTGGTCTCCATATACCTAATTGGTTTTCCAACGTTTAGCTGATGATGGAATCCTGCGCGAAGTTTGGATGAACAAACGTCCTCCTGAATTCTCCTTAACAAACGTGTTTGATGGCTATGCCAGCCATTTGGAAGTCGTGCCCAGCTTTTCTTTGTCTTACAATATGGGTCCTTTCGCGGAGAGATTTCGGTCGTTCTTACACGCCAGTGAAACTGGAGATTTCGAATTTCGGCTATTTTGTACATATCAATGTGAATTGTGGATAAGCCCAAACGATGAAGCCTATGACAAAGTAAAAATTCTCTCACATAATAGAAGCAGCAATGCCGATTGGTCAATAAGGTACGTTCTATAAATGTTTAGCTTAGAGTGGCGAGTTGAGCTCGCTGTGGCAAACATTTTTATACCAAATAATGAGATACAGTAAATCTGCACTGGTTTGTCAACCTTCGGCAACAAGGTTGCACATAATCTAGGCAAATTCAACTATTCAGTAGAGTAGCTAATTTACTTTATTTTCTACATTCAGTACTTTAACCGCAAGTTACAACTTTAAAAATGGCGAGAATTACTACATTGAGGTTAGATCGTTTGAGATCAAAGGTGCTAGAAATCACACATTGTTGGTAATCAAGGCTCCTAGTGCGAGTGTCACTGGCTTCTCACTGGTTCGTCATAAACCTGGTATGTGAACATCGATAAAGATGACCGGACGGAATATTTTTTCCTGGCAAGTTTTATTTGTTCCTGTGTACAGCAATATATTGACAATCTGTTTTGCCAAGCAGCCTTGAACCAAAGCTACTCATGCCAGCTTTTGGACAATGAAAATTTGTTCGTGAAAACAGCAGCGAAGGAAAACTAGACAAGAAATACTTCTATGAATTTGGGAAACAAAACCCGGCCTTGACATGAGATACAATATTCCGTGCATATGAGCAACAAAACTTGCCAAGGGAAACTTGTCGGCGAAAACGTGTTGACCGTGTACACAAGATTTGTAAAGGATTACATGCTCGGAGGAAACTTGTCAAGTTGTTCGTCTATTAGTTCTAAAACCTAGAGGTCCAATGAAGACTTTTCATTATTGGTCCAGTGCTACTGTAAGAGGAAAACTGAAAAACGTTAATATACATGCCGAACGAAGTTTAAACAATTTACTAAATTTTCTTATCTTTAAATAGATTGTTACCATGGCCTCGGAGTGGAGTCTGGGGCAATTCCAGATGCTGCTATTTATAGTTTGAAATTCTGGAGTAGCAATCAGTTTGCGTACACGGGACGGCTGAATAGCCCGTATCCACATTGTTATGAAACGAACTTTGACACAAATTTTTATGTTCATTTCGAAGAACTTCAGTGGGTAGTTGCTGTTGTAGTTCAAGGTTTTAACAATGACGGACTGTGGAGTAGTATTGGGAAATTCGAAATTGGAACAAGACTTGATTTTACTGAGTCGGGTATCACAAGATATGATAATCAATTCTTGGTAGGTATTTACATTGTTTGCATAGAGTAATTGCTGTCTGGATATCTGGTCAGGGTTAAAACCCGGATATAGAATAAGAACTGATTGAAAAATATTGAAAACGTCAACGCTACGAGCAAAGGATCTTGGTCAGGAAATTAGTAATATTCTGATGAAGAACGTTCGTTGGACACATATAAATTGCACATATTAATTATTTCAATGGTTTCCACATAGTTATGTTCCCAACAACAAAAGCTCATCCTTATTGCCGAATATTATACATAATTTTGCAATTTCTATTGTTCTTTATGGGGACTTTGCACGTGTACAAAGACCTTCTCCTCTTTTTGTAGATTTCAAGTATTTCGTTTGATGTTTTAGGAATATGTTGGAAAAAGCAATTTTGGCTCGATAAAAATTGTTAACCTTACAGAACCAATTCGATCACGGAATGTTCTAATTTGTATTGTAAATTATTATGGTACAGGTTGTCTTCGATTGGGCGTCATTGGATGCCATGCTGGTAGGTTTACATTTGGAGTAATCATGAATAGCCATCATTTTATACCACTATCATTACCATCACTATCATCATCTTTACCACCCTACCATTATCGTCATTATCACCAACAACATTGTCATTACCACCACTATCATTATCAACTTCACCATCATCATCGCCATAATTATCACCATCAAAATTATCATCACCAGCATCGTCAATATCAGCAGTACACGGTTCAATGTTGATGGTGTCACATTAAACCAACATTAACAATGTGTTTCTTAAATGTGTAGGAAACGTTGCTCGGGGAAAAGTGACCGGCGATTCGAAAGCGATTGATGGTTATTATGGGCGTGTTGGTCACACAAGTTGTGCCAATTTGTATTCAGTTAACTATCATGTATGGTGGTTAGTTGATTTCGGCACAGCATATTATATTGGCGAGGTCTTTATTGTCGGAAGAAAAGACTGTTGTCAGCAACGAATGCAGAATTTAGAAGTACGGATTGGAAACTCAAGTTTAAATGGTGGAAGTTTGAACCCTCAATGTGGAGAAACATTTTCAATGACTGATATTGCGTCTTTCTCAGTTCACTGTCAACCGTATGGTTATGGACGATATTTGACCATTGCTAAATACGATGGTCAAGCCCTAACGCTTTGTGAAGTGGCTGTCTTTCAAATTGAGAATGGTAAAAAGCTACAATTTTTAGTGATTTGAATTTTAGTTTTTCATTCACAACTTTCCTCACTCTGGTCACGTATCAGCGTTGTTTTAAGGCTACAATTAACATAGCTAAAGATATACGGTCAAAAGTATACGCACAATTTCAAAGTGAGCCGAGAACGATTAAACGTTCTGTTTCAATACCATTGCAAAACTTGCTCGCGCATACAACATAATAAATTTTTTCGGCAACCATATAATCTGATTGCGATAAGAATCTTGTCTTCGTCATATTTCAAATACCACAGTATTATTCAACCTACGGAGCTGTACGAACTCTGTGTATGGTAATATCATATAGCAATTTCAAGTGGTCGACCAGAGAGTCATGACAAAGTTAGTGGTCGATATTAAAGACGTGCTAGCCCCCTGCATCCCAATCGCATTCTTTGTGTGATCCACGTGGCCGGCCAAAACTGATTACTCCATTTCTTTTTCCATGTTATAGACACTATATTCTCAAATTGGTCAGATTGTTCTGTCACTTGTGGCTATGGTTTACAACAACGACGTACAGTCTGTACAAAACCTTATTACTGTAAGAGTGTGGAGGAAGTTCGCCCTTGCTTTGCTGGAAAAGAGTGTGAACGTAGGTCTTATTCACCCTTATTTCACCGTAAATTTAGTTAGTTCCACCAATCTTTAAACGATATGTTGCTCATTATCATATTAACTGCTTGATTGAACAAAATACTATTTCTTGGAGCGCTGGAGATCGGCATCCGTCCGTTGGATCATTGACGGCACTGTTAGCCTGCGTAACTGAGGCTCCCAACCCCTTAAAACCGCTAGGTATGACGGATAATCCGTCATAGACTTTTTTGGTCTTTTCTATGCCAAGTTCGTCCGGAAGGATCATCCATCTTTACTACAGTAGGGCACTTATGGCCACGGCGGATTTTCATACTTTTCTCGGGGTGTGCAAAAAATTTAGGGCGGGGTGGTGATGATCATGTGCAGGGGCGCATCCAGGGTTTTTGATGACCAGTTTACTAGATTCACCCAACTAATAGGGGGGTCCGGGGGTATGCCCCTTTGGAAACATTTTAAAATTTGGGGCTCTGAAACAGCATTTTCTGCATTCTGGCGTCACTTTTAAAATTAATTTAATGATTAGAAATGCATGTTTTTAATTGAATTTTTTACTAATACGCAGCTTAAACAATTGAATTGAAGCTTTTCCGAAGCGTATTAGCTAGTGCCTAGTGTTAAAAATATAGGATCCGCTAATTGCTGACACATCGATTTAGATCTGCACGCTTTCAATCCAACTCTAACGACAAAATAAAAACCAAACTGCAAGAGCGTGAAAGCTTCGCAATCATTTCCTGATTCTCAATCGCCAAAGCAATGATCAGTGGGTATAAATACGCTCGGTAGTCTATAATTAAATTTCAATAATAGATCAGACAACATCAATTTTATGAAACGGAATATTCTTTAAATTAGTTATATACATGGAAGGTTATAGATTTTCTTTCTTTGGAAAATCTGACAGGTTTATGTAAACCTGTCAAACCTGTCTGAATCCGCCCATGATGTGAATGTGCGAACGCGTGGTGCCGATGAGCACGTGAACTTATTTTTTGTAAGTGTGTTTTACTTTTACGTTAATTTTCTGCAAAAAAAGCGTATATAGAAACATGTTAATTTTAATATTTCTATCTTACTTAACGGTAGTTTAATTTAGTGCATTTAAATTTTGGCCGGGACAGGGGGTGCACATTTTTGTTGGGGGTGCACAATTTCTCTGGGGATTTTATGGGGAGCCCGCACGCCCCCAGAAAATCCATCTTGCTTCTGGCTCAGTACATTTGTATTCAGGAATTCCACCAACTCTTTTCTGTCTTTGTTAGTTTTGATGCAAGATTGTGGTCAATTGCACGCCCTTGGAGAAACTGAAACTGGCATATATAAAGTAAGACCAAATCGTGCGATAGAGAATGACATTTACGTATATTGCGACCACGATACGGATGGTGGTGGCTGGCTAATCCTGCAACGACGGTCCGCTACTGGCACACTAAACATGACACAGCCTTGGCACTTGTATCGAGATGGCTTTGGCAATGTCAGTACTGAATTTTGGATCGGTAACAAGTACTTCAGTCAACTTACAAATCACACTGCTTATGAAATTATGTTTCTTTTTAAACGCGCAAATGGTAGCGTTTTACGAAAGACAAAATGCGATGCATTCAAGGTATCATCTGAGCAAGAGAACTATCGTTTACAATTGGATATATGCGAGGGACCTGATGCTCAAATATTGAAATTTTCAAATGGGACAGAATTCTCAACGTGGGATAAAGATAATGGCTTTAGTATATTTAACTGTGCTAGTGAGATAACAGGCTGGTGGTTTGGAAGTTGTGATTCGTATCTTAACAGCCAGACTCTGTCCTGTTTTGGGCATTCTTCCTGTGATTATGACGCTACAATGATGATCAAGCCAAATAAAGGTAGAGTTAATTTCGCTGATGTATATATATTTAAGTTTCAACCCAGCCTCTCCATCTTCTTGTCAGTTCCCTCTGTGCTCTGTTCTCTGGTGTCACAATGTCTCTGACTGAGTTTTCTCCATAACAATTATTTGCGATTTTTCGTGTCCATACCATCTCAGCCTTGCTTTCATTTACTAAGCTAAGATGATATGGACAATTCCCTACGTCTTCACTTATGATCTTCTGATTTCGTCATGCAATGATGTTTTTGACCGAACCTCCTCAGTCACATCTAATTACGTATTCATTCCAGTCGGCATCCTGTGCCTTTTTCACCTTGGTTCCCTGACCTTCTCTTCGATATTTCCTGCACATCGTGCATCTTCTGATCTCTGTATCTTTATTCCATAATGTTTGTGATCGTGTCTCATTCATCTCTTGTTACGTTTCCATGCATGACAGCCTTGCTTCCCTTACCTTTTCTGCCATGTTTTCTGCATCATTCCAAAGCTTCTCTGACTGGCTTGCTCCATCTATTCTTATCAAATACCGATAAGCATCGCGGCATTGGTTACCTGGCCTAGGGGGGTGTCTACCGACACCCCGCCTAGTTGTATCTAGCATCCCCCCCTTGAGAAGTCCAACACCGCTATAAAAAATCTGCTTCACCGACGATTTTCTGCTTTTCGAATAGCGATTAGCGGAACTTCTTACGGTGGCCCGTTAGACGCTTGTTCCGTAGAAAATCACATTCGTTCTGTGTACTTGAAGTAGTTTTCCTTAATAACAGAGCGTTTCTGTATAAATGTGCGGCGTTTCCGTAGAAAATTCATACGACTTCCGCAGAAATATAGACGCTTTCCGTACAAATGTAGACTTCTTCCGTACAAATATAGATGCCTTCCTTAGAAATTTTATGCATGGCTTCCATACAAATGTAGACGCCTTCCGTAGAAATCTAAAACTAATGCGCGCGCATAGTCTGGTAACTATGGTAACTTCAGTTGATACATGATGCAAAATGGCGGCATGTAAACAGTGTACGCACGAATTTGCTCTTCGTACAATTAATTGTAGTATATGACAAATGTTTCGTGTGATGTAAATGGACGCTTTGTTGTTTTTAGTCACGGAAATCAAAACTCCACGGGGGATACTAAATTACTAATACTATAAATTTATACTATGCTTAATTGTCAGCTTCACTGACACAGCTTGTGATGTTACTCCGAGTGTATATCCACACCGGGCAAGCTTGAAAAATATGCCTGACGGCCCTGACCACGGTGGGAATCGAACCTACGATCTTTGGAATACTAGCCCAATGCTCTGACAACTGAGCTACGCGGTCAGGTCGGTTCGAGAATGTGATATTTTGAAACCGAACGTAGTTCCTTCGATATCATTGTAATCTAACAATCATGATTTTTCTGTGTTGGTGTAATTGTACTCCGGTGAATATGATGCTTGTGATGTTATATATTTTTCAAGCTTGCCCGGTGTGGATATACACTCAGTAACAAACCAAGCATAGTATAGATTTATCGAAGTGACTAGATGACCGGCAGCCGGCTATCTAGTAAACTGCCAGCTGTATAGTGACTATATAAATTAAAGTTGAATTTTTATAAGATAAACCGTTCCCTAACCCCAAACCCTCCTCTAACCCCAAACCCTCCTCTAACCCTAACCCCTAATCTAACCTTTTGAGAGTTAAAAAGGCGGAGAAAATTAAAAGTTGAAAAAATTTTAAGAAAAAAATATTCTTAAATCAGACGTTAAAAACACAATCCGACCCCGACTGGGTTTCACTTTCCGCACGCAGCGCCTTTGCCGTAGCGCTAACAGCAAGTTTGGTATAACTAGTGCAAACAAATGTTTTTATATGTAACTATAGTCATTATATAGCCGGCAGTTTACTAGGTAAGCCGGCTGCCGGTCTTGTCGATTTTAATATCCCATGTGGAGTTTAGATTTCCGTGACTAAAAACAACAAAGCGTCCAATCATTTACATCACACCAAACATTTGTCATACACTACAGTTGATTGTACGATCTTACTTGTTGTTTTATGACCGCCATTGGGACAAAAATTGCAATTTGGAAGAGCAAAATCGTCGCGTGCACTGTTTACATGCCGCCATTTTGCATAATGTAGCAACTGAAGTTACCATAGTTACCGGACTATGCGCGCGCATTAGTTTTAGATTTCTACGGAAGGCGTCTACATTTGTATGGAAGGCATGCATAAAATTTCTATGGAAGGCATCTACATTTATACAGAAGAAGTCTGCATTTGTACGGAAAGCGTCTATATTTCTGCGGAAGTCATCTGAATGCTCTGTTATTAAGGAAAACTACTTCAAGTGCACAGAACGAATGTGATTTTCTACGGAAACTTCTGCTGTAACTTCTGCTGTAACTTCTCCATTACTTCTGCTGTTTTAGCACGTGTCAATTTCTTGAAACGATTTAATTTATTTGTGCATTAGCACAAGACAATACTCATGATGCTTTGATTAAATGCTACGGTTAAATATGTAAATATTTTGAGGTTGTTATACGGAACTGTTTGGTTAAATATCATGTGTAAACATGTCTAGGTTGTTATTCAGTCATATTAATTTCAAACATGCTTGTCCCCGAGCCGACGGCGCGACGCGTCGTGCGAGGGTACTAATTCCCCCCGGCTATTTACACCCGGGAAAACGAAAGCATTAGCGGAGTCTAAAGTTCATCAAATATCGCGGGCGTGGGTCACTAACGGTGTTGGGTGGGTGGTCATCCTTACTGATCTCAAAAATATGGCGGACTGTCACGAATAGCGGACACTGATTGGTCCAATTTAAAGTTAGCATTATAACGACTGCATGACGACAGCGAAATAGCAAACATTTCTTGAGTTGATTTGATGATTGATAAATTTCTGGCAAATATGTTTCATTTTTGTTCGCATTTTTGCAAGATTTTGTAAATTTCAAAAGCTCTCTGAGAAAGGAACTGCATGCGAAAGAATCCGCTAAAAGAAGGGAGCCGACGTTAACGAAGGTAAGTTTGTTTTAAATATTGATTTTATAATGAATTTAAAACCCGACGGCTTTTGCGTATATGAAACAACTAAACAAGACAGCATATATTTTCAGTGTTTCTTTAGTATTGATTCCCTTTTTTATTATATTGAATTTTTTAAATAAATAGGAAAGCAAAGTTATTTGCAAGCGAGAATTTTAAATCATTTTATTGCAAACTCAAAGTTTATCGATAAAGCCATTTTAAAAGGCAGTTTAGTTTTATATTAAAGAACACTCGAATGACTTTAAAACGCTTTGCGAAGCGTTTGTGGTTGAATTTTACCTTAAATCGAGGCTTATAATACGTATAATAACATACCTAACATATATATGTTGGGAAATTAATTATTTTGTGATTAAAAGTGATATTTATAGGCGATTTTTTACTTGTAAGAATATTCCTGGAATATTCTTAAAAAATTATCGTGTTACCATGACAACTTAGATACTTCATGTTCGGAAAATACAATGGTTTTGTCAGCAAGGCGAGGGTTTCTGCATGCATGTATTTTCTAGTACTTTAAAAGGTAAAGTTACTGTACTGTGCTACAGCAACAGCAACAGTTCAGTCACGTATATGTGATGAAAATCCGATATAAACTACATAAACAAACAATAACGTGGTACAATGGCGAAAATGCAGATTCGGCCATCTCAAATAATGGTAATGTTGGGATAGTAGCGTTGCAGAGGAAGGTGGACAGTAAGACTCCCCCTGATCCACCACCCGGTGGAAAACCTGCATCTCTCTGGAGGCTAGATCTGCCCCTGACTCCCGTTCTCTGCAATTCGCCTTTTTGACTCTAAAGACACGTATTGCAACACGTGACCAAAAATGTAAACAAATACCACGAGTTCGGACAAGCTTAAATTGTTCGAACATACAACAGAGTATATTCATCATGGTTGCTACAAAAAGATGTGCGTGGGGTACGAGTAAAATTACTCACGTTACCCACTACGAATGATTAAGAATTCAAATAGTGACAATTCAAATAGTGACCTAGTAACGTTTTTTCATTTTCCCGGACCAAAAAAGAACGCCGAAAAGCGAATGAGGTGGATTGTTGATGTCGGAGCGGTGATAATTTTTTAATAAAACGACACAAAGGTCAAACGACAGTTATACATCTGCAGATTTTGTCGGCGAACAAGTCCAATACCAGTGGTACTTGGTAAGTTTTTATGGTTCAGTTGTGTGTAATATTATGAATTATGCACAATCCACCTCATTCGCTTTTCGGCGTTCTTTTTTGGTCCGGGAAAATGAAAAACGTTACTAGGTCACTATTTGAATACTTAATCATTCGTTGTGGGTAACGTGAGTCATTTTTACTCGTATACCAAACGCACATCTTTTCATAGCAAAGATTGTTCAATATACTCGGTTGTATGTTCGAACAATTTAAGCTTGTCTGAACTCGTGGTATTTGTTTACATTTTTGGTCACGTGTTGCGACACGTGTCTTTAGAGTCGAAAAGGCGAATTTTAAAGTCCACGTCTTCTTGAGATCTCAAAATTCCTTGCCTTATTATTCAGTAATGTAGAAATACTGTACCAACAGTTTTAAATTTGAAACACTCACTTAATGAAACTCTGCTACAACTGTTATATTTCTTGTAGTTGATGGAGGTTGGACACACTGGACCTCATGGGCAACATGTGACAAGCCATGTGGTGGAGGCAATAGCACGCGTGTGCGTTCGTGTACATACCCTCCCCCTGCAGGTGGTGGAGCTGATTGTGAGGGACCTTGGAACGAGACACGAGGCTGCAACCCGAATCCATGCCCAGGTATGTCAACTTTGCATATGTTTCTGGATGGCTTTTTACAGAGACTAGTCTTCTTGAATTTACTTTAGTGCGCACGAGTTGCTTGAATTGCTGGCAATGTGATCCATTTTAATAAAGTGATTGTGACGACCTTGTCTCATTTACACTCAAACGAAGTGGTGAAGGGTTTTGGTAGCTCATGGCTGTTCCTGGCGGGTGATGCTAATAAACTTGCAATGGCATCCAATGTCGTAAATTCATAATAAAACCCTAACAATCACTCTAATCTCAGCAAAGGCGGCCGTTAGGTGAATATCATTTGAAAAATTTGCAATATCATTTATTTTTTAGTAATCGAAGTTAATGTAATCATGCGATTTATTGAAGAAACTTGGACTGAATACCTTAAATCCTCTTCGTCGCCTTTATTTGGAGGGCTGATGCAGAAAATTATTAATAATGTAAGTGTATGACTTTTTTATGTGGAAATGTTATGTACTGTATTGTATTGTACTCGTGTACTACAGTGCATAACTAAGTAGTAAGTTATGCTTAAACTGTTCATATAAGCGTAACTTAATTACGTTTAAACTGTTGATATTTTCTAACAGATAAAAGCACTATATAACAATGACTCTTCAGTAAATGTTGACGTAAACTCGTTCAGGTATGTAGGCTTTCTATTGTAATGTGTTGTGCTTTTGCATTCTGTTTGGTTACTTGATATGCTTCTTTTAGGGAATTTGCTCCATAAGGAGAATCACTCAAAGTGTATTAACTAATTTCTATTTGAACCGGCAGACAAGGCAGTGTGATAGCAGACGTTACAATCATATATGAAGCTCTTGATGGTCAACAATTGATTGTTTTACAAGAAGATCTTGACCAAGATGGATTACTCAATCAAGACATGCCAGTTGTTTATACTCAAAATGACCTTGTGGTTACCGAAGGTACTTCCATATTCGTATATCCTTTCATTGATATGTCAGAAATTCCTGCATCATTAAATCCCTAAATGCCTTATTTTTCTAGTCCTATTTAGACCTCCGCAGATAACTGAATTTCGCAACGCAAGTTCAACGAGTATTTACATACAGTGGCAACCACCGAATTCGACCATACTCTACAAATTACTCGGATACAGAATATTTTATAAGGAAAGTAATGACACATCTTTGACCATGCTCGTTCAAGCTGTTGAGAAAAATATTGTGGAAATTGAGATAACTGATCTTAAATATTATACAAATTATTCTGTCAGAGTGTGTGCCTTTTCTTCAGCTGGTAACGGTGTTCCCACCACAGCACATTATATCATGACAGATGAATACAGTAAGCTATTTTCTTTATTGGTTATTATAGTGACCTACCTACCTACCAACCTGACTGATTACCTGCCTGCTTGCCTGCCTACCTACCTACCTACCTACCTACCTACCTACCTACCTACCTACCTACCTATACCTACATCCAGTACTAACTACAGTACCCATCAGCCAACCCACCCACTTAATTAATTTGACAAATGTTTTGAAATTTGGGAATCAAATTTTCATTTAGTTCCTATGGCTTCACCAGTGATAACATCTGCCCATAATCTCAGTTCTACGTCATTAAGCATGTCTTGGCTTCCTGTGGACCTGCCATTATTCAATGGCATTCCTACTGGATATATGGTGCACTACAGAATAAAGACTTCAGACAATAAAACCGCATTTCTTAATACAACACTTGATGATTACCTGGCGATGAGCATTAATATTTCTGATTTAATGAAGTATACAGAGTATGAGATGTATATGACGGCAACAACAATTAAAGGACAGGGGACACGAGGAGAGTTTGTTTACTTTAGGACAGATGAGGATGGTAAGGGATTGGTTTGTGCATGTGCCTTCCGCATGAGCAGGGTTATATATTCCTGCAATACGCAGTTGTCTAATCTGTTCAATGTTATTACCTGTTAATATAGTTCCAAGCGAAGCTCCTAACAATATAACACTACGAAACAGGACTTCAACATCACTAAATATTTCGTGGACGGCTGTTCCTCAGGAATTAGTTCATGGAGTGTTACGAGCATACGTCATCGAATACTGGCCTGTAGATAATATTAATGCTACTACGAATACTAGTGTTGGACCATGGGAAACAAAAATACAACTGACGAACTTGATGAAGTTCACCAACTATAGTATCAAATTTGCAGCAATGACCGTAAAAGGTGTTGGAAACTGGAGTGAGATTGTGCTACAGACAGATGAAGATGGTAGGTGAAATCCAGGAATTATTTCGGAGACTTGAAATTCTTGGGAATAACATCTTAGGTCGTGAGAAGATTAGCCAGCATTGCTGCGGATTGATGTACCCTGTTTGCCGCCCCTCAAAAACAATGTTATAAACTGAAACTGCATTGTTTCGCAAACACTGGTTTCGTACTTTGTAACCTTTACGTGTAGACATCTATTACTGCCAGCATTTGTTGTAAACTAGTAATTTAATAAGACGCAGAGGCATATTTTCCAGGTTTGCCACTCATTAAGAAATATAATACCAAATTGTTTTAAAGTTTTAATTAAATCCAAATTAGGACGGAAAATACTGCTTTTTTTGTCACAACGTTTACTCAATTTGTAAAACGCGTTTGTTAGTACGCACGATCGGAGAATTTGAGGCAAAATTAACTGAAATTCGAGAATCTAAAGCAACAGAACACAGTACCAATTGCCTGTATAAGTATTTCATTTCCTTATTTAGTTCCAGACCGTGGCCCAGTGGACCTGACAGGCTTTAATATCAGTACTACTGCAGTCAATATTTCCTGGAACTTGATCCCTAAGCAATATCGAAATGGTATTATCATTGGTTACAGAGTACATTATGATGATTATATGGGCCATTCAGGCAGTATTATCCTACCCGCGTTACAAAGACATGTGATCTTGGAAGGTCTCCTCTCATATACTCTGTACAATATCAGTGTTGCAGGATTGACTAAACCAGGCGAAGCATGGAATAGAACTTTTGTATTCATACGTACAAATGTCGGAGGTACAGTAGGTCTTGTGATCAGTCACTTTCAACTACCGTCATTCGCCATAATTTATCAAGCATTATTCACGATTAATTGTAGCATTATGACACCTATTAACATGATCGTCATCCACTATTATCATCATCATGGCCATCATCACTACCATCACCACTATTTCATCGTCACCATCTACGCCACCATTATCTACCACAAACAACCATTATCCATTAGGATCACCCAACAGTATCACCATTACAGCAACCACCATCATCCACCACCCTGTTACACTTATATTTTTGTTTAATTATTATTAGCTCCAACGCGAGAACCTTGGGAATTAATATGTTCTGGCGTGTCGTCCTACACCATATCTTTACACTGGTATCGTTTTACACCTGATCTGACTGGTAGTCGGCTTACTGGATACTTCATATCATACCGAGCAATAGAGCCTCCTGATCCAACTATGTTTAACGTGACATTGAAACCATTTAAACACAACTACGTAGTGGAAAATTTGAAAGCATACACAAATTACTCCTTCGAGTTGCACGTCTTTAATCCATGGGGGAAAAGCAATACATCATCAATTGTTTGTAAAACTGAGGAAGGAAGTACGGAAAAAAAGTTTTTGTATTTTTACCGTTATAGTACTTTAACAGTTAACACAGACAGCCTGAAACAGGCGGAAACGCTCATTTTGTAGGGTTAGTTCTAAAACTAGTGGTCCTCATCTCCCAGAAAATTTGAAAAGGTAAAAATGCAGGTTAAGAATCAATGGGAAAATGCAAGATTAATAACGCTAAAAGATGGTAGCTGATTTTCTTATTTCATCTAACAAACGTTATTCTTATTAGTTGTTACATATGTTGGAGACTGTTATTGACATGGAATTTTCCAGAACATTCTATAAATATTCAACATAAATATAATATTTCAGTCAAAGAATGACAACAGTCAACAGGTCCCCCACACAAAATATGCCTAAGGGCCCCCTCTTCCTCCGTTACACCACTGAACACAGATTAAGTGTAGAAGGAAGTTAGATAGTTGGTTTTTACATTTCTTTAACCGAAGTGTTTATTCTTTTCCACTAGAACCTTTGTCATCACCAAGTAATATTGTTGCCATTTCTAAAGTTGCACCTGATAAAATAATTCTGAAGTGGAATACCGTTCCTAAACTTCTGATGGCTGGCATACGTCGTGGCTACACCGTTACGTACAGAAAAACAAAGGAAGTTGGAGAGTTAATTGAAGATGACCAGAAACGGATAAATATTTTCGAGCCAGAACGGACAGAAATTGCTATCGAACGACTTGAGTACAACTGTCAGTATTCCTTCGCTATTCGAGTTTTTAATACCAAATTTTTTGGTGATGATAGCGAGATAGTCTTTGGAGGTAAGGACAAGTGAGAAAAAATCGACGTTCCATTTTTGTTTTATACGGTTGTCAGTTGATTAATTAAAATTTAAACTTTGTTAATGAAAGTACTTGCAATTAGTTTCTTCCAGACACTTGAGATTTTTCCTGATACCCCGCATTTATCAAACAATAATAGGGTGCATTTACTGAACCTCTACGAAGACCACTCAAGAACCTATACAATTATCTTTCGAAAGTAGTTTTGGTTTAGGTTTTATCTTGTAATAGTAGCTACTTACTGAACCAATAACTAATGGCTATTACTGAAACTTTAGAAAGAACAATTTAGATGGGATAGAGCCTTCGAGAGGATTTCACCCCGGATGGAGAACGTCAATGCGATGTTCAATTAATCATTTTGTAATTTTTGCCTAGAAACGTGCAATTGTCTAGGGGATTTCTACATGAACTGGTGTAGCTACATGCCATATGTGAACACATCAGACACTGGAATATTTCCGCCATTGATTCGCAGTGCAATCTATGGTGTTTGTGGCAACTGTTCTGAGTTTGGTCAACCTAAAATATACTTTGATATTGAAGGCTCGTCACTTAGAAAAACCGGTCTGATCCATGTCAAGAATGGTATTAACGTAAACCATCAAATAAACTTTCCCCTAATTGGTCGTAAAGACTCGAAGACATTTGTTCCAGTTATTGACAGTCCTGGAAGTGTATTTGTGACGAAAAAGCCCAGTTTGACCATGATGGTTGAATATATGTTTTTTGATACAGTTATTGGTACATTACCATTGCTTGGATTTGCCGTTATCACAGCTTCATTGGCTGGCTTCATAATGTGGTGCCTGGTAAGTTATCGGCACAGTAAATGTCGAACGGTTTAGAAATAGCTTATGTTTAGTCGTAATGTGACTTGTTGGTTCGTGAATGTAATTTGTTCTTGCTGTACACCCAGTTACTTTTACCAGAAATATAGCTGCATGTTATAACCTGGTTGCTATTCCTATGAACTCAGATACTTCCATTGAACAATTGTTTGGGTCATAAACTGTTGATAGTCCAGGCGTGTTCTCTTGGCTCTAATCCATGTGTCGTTTTTTTTATTTGCAGGAAAATAAGAAAAATCCTGAAAATTTTCCCAAACGTTTTAGTCGTGGTGCTCCGGAAGGGTTTTGGTGGGCTTTTATATCGATGACTACTGTAGGGTAAGGTGCAAGTTTCGCATGCAATTTTGCATTCACCTTTATCTATAGCTAATTGTTTTTTGAACAATTGGGCCTACAGTGTACAGTCGCTCTTCGAGAGCACTCATTTATATTTGTATTTTATCTAGCTATGGTGATCGAGTAGCTATCACTGCACCAGGCAGGATATTTTCAATAATATGGACACTATATGGATTGGTTATAACTGGTATACTCGTAGGAAACTTAACTTCAGCACTGACAGTTTCTGTTGCGTTTTCTCTAAATGAAGTTGATCTTTATCAAGCGAAGGTATAAAGCCTTCCAAGGTTGATTTAAATACTCCCATGATAGCCTGCTCAACTGTTCCTTACCTCAATGCTATTCACCACAAACCCAACTCGTATTTCAACTTTTCATAAATCCCAATAATCTCACCAAATTCTTAACCTAATCCTATTTAGATTGCTGCGATTGAAAATTCTTCAGAATTCAAACTGGGTTTATCAAAAGGAGCTGTAGTCAACAAAGGTGTGTTGTATTTCCACGTTGTTATTCAACTCCAGTTGCGGTAGGATTTATTGACAAGCTAGTCAACATCAAATTTGTATTATCCGCTTTTATTAACTTTTGCTACACTGTTGTAATCGGTCCAGATTTTCTGGTTAAGATTAGACCTCCACAAGTTAAGATCTCACCACTTGTCAACAAGATGTGTTCATGACAGGCTTTTGTAGCAAGTTGTTAACAAGCTGTTATTTTATCAAGTTGCTACATGGTTGTCACTCACAATTTGTACATGTTGACAAATTGTTCAAGCACAGGATGATAACAAGTTGTCGGAACGATTCGTAACAATTAAGTCTGTTGAGCTAAACAACACTGTAGCAAGTAGTCAACAGGTCGTTGACAATATTCACAAATGTCCAAGTCTGCTGTTGGTTTGTTATATTTACAGGTCTGCTGCAGGTTTGTTGTAAGTTGTGCATTTTGACGTGTGTAGACCATAGTGTGTTTACTAGACGTGTGCATCGGATCAGATT